AGCGGGGCTGGCCCGGGGGTGCGGGGCCGGGCCAGCAGTGCTGGGCCAGGCCGGGGCCGGGGGTGCTGGGCCGGGGGCGCTCGGCCGGGGTTTGGCCCGGGGGTGCGGGGCCGGGCCGGCGATGCAGGGTCGGCGGTGCGGGACCGGGGGTGCTGGGCCAGGGGTCGGCCGGGGGTGCTTGGCTGGGGCCGGCACCCCAGGAGCCGAGCTAGGCTGGAGACGCTGGGGCTGGCCGCCGGAGGGAGCCGCTCGGTTGGGGGGGCCAGACTGGGCCGCGCCTCCTTCTTCCCCCCCCCCCAGCTTACCTGCTGCCTGCTTCAGGCTTCCCGCGAATCAAATGTTCGGAGTTGGGGCGGGGACTTTGGGAAAGGGGTGGAGTTGGGGCAGGGGCATGGGCGGGGCTGGGGCCCCGTGGAGTGTCCTCTTTTTGGACACTCAAAATATGGTAACCCTAATTAAATTTAAGTCAAAACAATGTTTTTAATAGCCCTGAGCAAATTATACTTCATGTTATGATCCAGTTCTGCTCTTGTGCATGCCTGCAACTCCCATTGACTTCAGTGGGGGTAGTGAGTGCATATCCCAGTACAGAAGTTGATCCTAGCAGGTCTACACACAACTGATGTGTCCCGAACTACTTGTATGCTCCTTTGAAAATCCCAGCCTAAGAAATTTAGGAATGCAGCAACTTGGATCCCTATATGCCAGGAGCCCTCCAAAACGTGTAAGGGGAAAGCATTCTGTCGGGAAACCAAATCATTCAAATATAAATTTGAAATTGGCAAGTACCGGTAACATTCTCGCTTTTTAGATTAAAACACTTGTGCTCTTGACAGTAAATCTGTAAAATTTCATCCAAATTTAAGAAGTTCACTTGGGGATTAATTGAAAGCAGAGCTCATTCTATCCAACAGAATACAATTTTAAATGCTTTTTTCTTGCTGTCTTGTGACAAAGCATTTGCTAACTGAAACTGTCCTGATAAGAAATGATTTGATTCTTTTTTAAATAGTGCTATTAAACACAACTGTTAAAGCATGTAATCTCACTGACCAGAACAGATGTGTTGACCTATCAAGTGATGTAATATGCACCACACTGCAACTGAAACAACCTGATAAAACAATTAGCCCTTGAAATGTTTATATTTTGATTCATCTTTTTTTGTACAAGATTAAGTGTTTAATGAAAAGTAAATCCATTAAAAACCTCTGCATTTCACCACCTTACACGTTTCTAGCAGATAATTAAAATACAAGGTATGTATTCTGGGAATACATAATTTTCTATTAACTGACCAGTTTTGGTAGCACAGTGCATAGAGGTATACTGCCATTTGATTCAGATGTTAAATTAGCCCTCAGTTTGTTTGCCACTCCAACTACTGGAGGCAACTTAGAACCTATTCCTGGGAAGGAGCTTGTGTAGTTAGATATCCGTTTACCCATGCTTTTATCAGTACTGGGTGGTTTGGGCATTCGCTTACAAATCCAAGGGTGTCTTAAAGCTTGACTTGGAGTCATGCGCGCAGAAGGATCCCAGTTAAGACATTCTTTTAAGAATTCTATAAACAAGGGGTCATCACAGCCTTTCAACGCCGTCACCCAGTCTTTGTTGCCTGGAGCACCACGCATTTTACCCCTGCGTGATCTACTGCCATTGAGGATCACTTTCCCATCCGTATGTGTAGTTGCAGTGCAGTAGCGAGGATGACCCTTGGAGTTGATGAAGTTCTTGGCTCGCTTGGATTGATCCAAAAGCTTCTGAGGTGGCATTCCAAGAAGCTCCATCATACAAGCCAGTTGGTCTCCCTCATCTTCTCCAGGAAAAAGAGGATATCCAGTCAACAGTTCCACCAGAATACAACCAAAACTCCACATGTCTATGGGCATCCCATAGCGACTTCCCAGAATGACCTCTGGGGCCCTATAGAATCGAGACTGAATATACGTGTAGACTCTTTGGTGCTCAAAGCAGCTGGACCCAAAATCAATAACCTTGATGCCACTCCGCCCTTGCTGTTTTAGAAGTATATTTTCTGGCTTCAGGTCACAATGTATGATTTTGTTTTTATAAAGAGCCTCCAAACACTGTAATATAGAGTGGGCAAACTTGCGTACCAGCTGCACACTGAACCCTTGAAATTTATTTCTTTTGATCAGCTCATACAGGTTCATGCTCAGGAGCTCAAAGGTCATACATATGTGGTTCCGAAAGGTGAAACTTTCTAGCATGTGAATAACATTCATGCTGCCAGTTTTATCCTGTTTCTTGAGATGCTCCAAAATCCGAATTTCCTCTGCTGCTTGACGGTGAAACCTCTTCTCATTGCGAACCATCTTTAAGGCCAAATGCTGGTGGAGTTTATGATCATAAACTTTAGCTACTTGTCCAAAACTGCCCTTTCCAATTATTTTAAGTACTTCGTATCGGTAAGCCAGATGGTCATGAGGCACATGAATGTATCCACCTTGGTCATCATCATATCCTCCATTGTTGGGGCCACCGACTACTCCTTGCCTCTTTTTTGCATTTGGACCCACAAAGTAAATTTCAGAAAAGTTACATATTTCTTGCTGCTCGTAAGCAGATAACTGATGTTTATATTGCTTCACTGCTTGCTCTGGAGCCTGAGAGATAGCTTTGCGCACTTTTGATGAACTTCCACAAGATTTGGCTGTGCTTAAGCTGTCTATACTTTTATCTTTTGACAGGGAAGGAAGAGATCTTTCGGAACTACTGATTCCTGCAGACTGAAGAGTACTGCTCCTCTTATTGCCAGAGTCCTCAAATAGTTGCTCAACTTTGACCTGACTTCCAGTCAGAGGATGATCTTTCATAGTGAGTTTGTTGCTAGTAACCTATAGGGATGAAAAAAGCCAAATCTTAATTTTTTTTTAAATGGATAGAAGAAGATTAAAATACCACATAAAACAAAATGCTTTGACATCAGCATTAGGTTTGCATTTATTTTCACAATGCAGATGTATTTTAAATGTACTGCATAAATTATATTGTTATCTATTCTAATCTGAGTTATATGCAATGCCATACACGTGTTTGTATACCAAATGCAATGAACTTTTTGAAAATGGAGTATGTATAAATATACCGTATCTTCTAGTTCAGAAAAAGGGCAGGTGGTGCAGCCCAGCATTGCTATGTTTAGTCTTGGAGGTGGGTGTGGCAAACATGACCCAATGACAGATGCAGCTTGCACCTGTTTGAGATATGCAACCTAGCACGAATGTGTGCAGAGGGGGGGAGAATATTACATGGACAAGTGTGCAGAGGGGAGACAAGGGATCTAGAGTAAAAAATCCACGATGGATGGGGTAAAAGGATGGGGAAAAAGGGACAACAGCAAGCAAGAGGAAGATGACAAAACAAGATAAAATAGGCTGTGTTTATGCTCAAATACGTACCCACAACTCCCATGGACTTTAAAGAGGGTCACATTACTGTGTCGGACTGCAAAACTGGATACAGTATGTATCCCCACGAATACCAGCTTCCATCAAGTTTCTTTCCTTTTTCCTCCCCTTCTAGTGTGTTCTAAAACACAACAGTTCTCCACTCACTGCTCTAAGCTAATTTGGGCATAAATATTTTCATCTACCAAGAGATGTTAATTTGTTGCAGACAGAACATTACGACTAGTAGGAAAATATTGCGGAATACATTTAAGACTTGTCATTTTTACAGGATTAAAATTAGCCAATGCTGCGCTCCCTGAAATTCCGTCCCTTCCTTTAAAGGCAATGCACTCATTCACGATTATTCCTCCTTTCATTTCCCCAGCATTCTACACTACAAAATCGCATGAGATACTATCCTATGCAATGCTGAAAAAGTCAGGACTAGTGCAGCAACATCTGTTTTCCATTCTGGCCTTTAATCTCAATAAAGATGTGAGACATGTGCCAAGCCCAGTCCCTGAAACTCAAATAGCTGCTTAGCAATCAAGCAAAAGTATAAATAAACCTGTAGCTCCAGAGCAATAACATCCAATTACTTTTTAGTTAAACATACAATCCACCATCTCAACACAGTCAGTAAATAAGAGCAATGATTATGTTTGCCAAAAACAACTTCGCAAATATCCCCCGTCCTCCGTCCTGGTTAAGAGTCAATTTGCTAGCTCTGCACTGAAATGTTAGTGTGCACTTCATGACAGGAGCCTGGAAAATGCAGACTTCCTCTAGGAGCCTGTCTCAGATCAGTGATGATTAGGCCTTTGGAATCTCCCTTTTATTCAGTGTTATGTCTGCCCAGAAATGTGGACAATACATTGTAAGAGACACACCTTTCCAGGAACTCACTGAAAACATACAATAAACACGTTTATTCTTTCAGCCTGTGGCTGAACTGCTGAGATAAGAGTGAGAGATACTATAAGATTCTGAATGAAAGGCATAAAGAATGAAGGGCAAAGAGATCAAAATGGTAAATTTGCAAATGAACAGAGAATCCAGACTTGGAACAAGGTTCAGTTTTTGTTTTGGGGTTTTGTTTTCTTTTTGTTAAGATGTCTGAAAAACTGTTCTCCTACCTCCATAGCAGAAATCTTGTGTGTGACCATGTCTTTTTTACTTTGACTGCAATCAGAATTTGATTAAGCACATAGCCCTAGTCCTTGAAAAGTCCACCTGTACTACAGGAAAGGATATTCTTTGTACAAGAACTCTGTGTTATTTAAATTAACTCACCATGCAGGCAGGAAGGATTTTAAAGGGCCAGGACTGTATGTGCTATAGTGAACTTCACTCAATTTCATCTTCCATCAGGCAATGCCTGTTTATCTAGCTTTATGAGGTTCCTGCAAAGTTCCTCAGTCTTCTTTAGACTTTACAAATAATGGTGTGTCATTTGAAAGTTTTGCTGTCTCTCCCTTTTCTACATCATTAATCCTAAATAAATGGTCCTAGAGAAATGATTACGCAAGAGAATTAGAATTTCAGGTGAGGAATAAGCAGCAGGAACAGATGAATTACCCATAATAGTAAGGGAAGAAAAGCCATTGAAGGAGCACTTCTGACCATATCCTTTTAACAGGAGGCTTTCAGAGCTTTCACTTAAGATAGCAGCAGCTATTTAATGGTCCATTGCAGAATACTTATGTCAGGTGTTTGAAACACTTTATTGGAAAGGTCTTTAAGCCCGCTGAACTAACTTGATTTTTAAAGGTGAAGTCAATTTGAGTACATGATATTATATATTTTACTTACACACAAAACTGCTTAGAAAAAGTTCAGTATTTTGTTTCCAGCATAACCTTCATCTGACACGCCTCCCACCAGGATGTAAAAGGAGGTTGGCTGAAAAGCAAAACACTGAACTTTCTCTAAATTCAAAAAACATTTGTAAAAAGCAGCAAGATTGGTAGTTAACTCTTTAGTGGCATGTTGGGAACAGCTCAAAAATCAAAGCATTTCACAGAGCCTGACCTATTGTTGCTCACATCCCTGCATTACTCGGGATTCCTTCCTGCGCTTGCCTGCATGCAGCTGCAGTTCCACTCACAAACTACTTGGCCAGTTGCTATGCATTTTTTGTTCTCTTTCGTCCCCTGCCCCCTTCCCAAAATTCATACCTGGAAAACAATTCAGGAATGAAGGTGTTAAGGCAGAGTTTCACCATTTAAAAAAGGCTAATGCACCTGTTAACTTACATTTAAATCTCACATCGATACACTGTCCTGTAGATATCTTATGTTCCTATCCTAGACAAACTCATCAAGATGCCCTAGAAGATAAATAATCAACTTTGCTTTGTTGTCCTGTAACCTAGATCTGTTCACGTGACATCCTAGAATACAAATAGGGCCTTAGAGCACCACACACACTTCTGTTACAGTGCTGTACAATTAGGAACTAGTGCAACACTTTAAGAGCTAGAATTATACTAAATATGGTATAACCATTCTCCAAATGATGATGTACCTCAAAGGGCACTAGCAAATAGTTTTGCCATAACATTTAGGATTCACAAAGAAAAAAAGAGGGGGATAAAAAGGAATACAAAATCTAAAGAGAAATGCTTTTATGAATTCTTTGACTATGGTGATCCCTTGTAGAGCTAGAAACCCAAAAAGCTGCATTGTGCCAGTACTTGAGAACCAGCAGGTGAAACTGACTAATTCAGTTTCATTGAAGCCAGCACTTGAATCATGTGCTAAAAAAAACAAAACTCTCCTCCCTCCGCCCCAAAAATAAACAGTAAAAATGGTGAAAAGCGAGATTTATTGATTTACTTGTTTATACTTTCTAGTTTTAAGATGCTACCATGATACTAATAAGGGTAAAGTATTTTTTTTAAAATAGTGAATATTATCCCCTTAATATAGACAAAGGTAGTTAAAAATATATAGTATATACTTGTTCATTAGCCCGTTCGTTTATAAGCCGACCCCCCAAGATGGTTAGGTAAAAAGAGCAAAAACTGTATGACCCTTTCATAAGCAGACCCTATATTTCAGGGGTTGGCAAACTTTGGCTCCTGGTCCGCTAGCAGGCCTGGACGTTTTGTTTACCTGGAGCATTCACAGGCATGGAGCCCCTCAGCTCCCAGTGTCCGCGGTTTGCTGTTCCCAGCCAATGGGAGCTGCGGGAAGTGGTGCGACCCCGGCTCTTTGATGCGTCACTTTTTTACCAAAAATATTCGGCTTATGAACAAGTAGATATGGTATATTGTTTTAATCACCACAAGTGGCAAGGTCTCATCCACAATGTTGTTCGTCCTCATTTACTGGCTGTCTGAGTTATCCTGAAGTCTTCTGACACTTCAGACTACCAATACTGCTGAGGAAATCAGACCTGGTGCATTTATGAGCCCTGCACAACTCACAAAACCCATCTGAGCTTAAAGTTGTGCTGCTATTTTACTACATGCTACTAGCTTCAACTTAGTGTATTAAAAAACAGTAGTATTTGATCAAAAGTTATAACTGCAGAATAATGGCGGTTAAAGGCCTGTCAGATATCTGTGCTGATTCAGTGCATCTCCATGGCAGCCTCAATTTGCAGGGTTCCTCTGGAAAGAGGTACAAAGGGAGCAATTGTACCCCTCTGTACCCAGGTGGGAGAATAAAGCTTTTAAGACTTCAAAAAGATAAAAGAGATGTATTTAAGTCAACAAAGCCTGATAAAATTCACCACAGAGTACTTAAGGAATTAGCTGAAGCAATCTCTAAACCATTAACGATTATATTCAAGAACTCATGGAGGACAGGTGAGGTCCTAGTGGGCCGGAGAAGGGCAAACATAGCACCTATCTTCACAAAGGGGAGTTATACACCAGTCAGCCTAACTTCAATACTCAGAACGATACTGGAACAAATGATTAAACAAGCAATTTGTTCAAACCTGGAGAATAAGGTGATAAGTAATAGCCAATATGGATTTGTCAGGAACAAAACATGCCAAGCCAAACTAATTTCCTTCTCTGATAGGATAATGGGCATAGTGGATGCATGAGAAGCACTAGATATATCTTGTCTTTAATAGGGCTTTTGTCACAGTCCCATACAACATTCTCACAAGCAAATGGGGAAAATATGGTAGATGAAATTACTATAAGGTGGATGAAGACCACCAAGCTGGGAGGGGTTGCAAGCAGTTTGGAGGATGGGATTAGAATTCAAAATGACCTTGGCAAACTGGAGAATTGGTCTGAAATCAACACATCAGCCTTCTTCCAATGGCTTCATTTTATAAGCCAGGAACTGCACAGTTTACTTTTGCCATAAATTAGCTGTCAGCAGCCAAGAAACTTGATAAACAACACAAATAATACTCCACTGACGATTTCTCACATACTCAGAAAAACTTCATTATGAATAAGAAGGAAATGGCTAACCAGT